TCAAAGCTGGAGGAAGACTAATCAATGTCTTTAGATCATCAAAACTTTTGGAGTGTTCTAAATTCCACTCCCATTTTTCTTTGTTAACAATCTTGTATAAAGGATCAGCTATTTCAGCGAAGTTGTTCAAAAATTTTCTGTAGTACCCGGCCATACCTAGAAACGTTGACAATTCCGCGGCTGATTTTGGTTCCGGCATTTTAACGATCGCCTCGATCTTGTCATGGTTGGCGTGGATCCCCTTGGCGTCGATGTCTTGTCCTAAGAACCTTAGACTTTTTTTGAAAAATAAGCTTTTTGCAAAATTAGGCACTAAACCATGAGATAGTATTCTTTCAAAAACCTTCTTTATGTTGTTGAAATGAACTTCGTCACTACTTCCCGTAATTAGTAGATCATCAATATAAAATATGACATCTTTCATGTCACTGAAAATTTGATCCATAATTTGTTGAAAAATCGCAGATGAAGTCTTTAACCCAAAAGGAAGTCTGGTAAACCGGTAGTACCCCCTGTGTGTAGATATAGTTAATATGTCTCTGCAGGTTTCATCAATGAGAATTTGTAGGAACGCATCCTTGAAATCTATCTTGGTGAACTTCTTCCCTTCCTTGAGCTTAGCGATAAGATCATTTATTCTTGGAAGTGGGTATCTGAAGTCCTCAAGGGCTGGGTTGACAGTGTCTTTGAAGTCTGCGCAAACCCTAACGCTCCCATTATCCTTGTAGACAGCGATTATCGGACTTGCCCATCGGACATCTGTTACAGGCTCAATTACTCCATCTCCTATCCATCTCATAAGTTCTCTAGTAACAGCGTCTATCTTTGAATAAGGTAACCGTCTAGGTGGTATGATTTTCGGTTTGGCGTCGTTACGTAGATATATCTTGACATTCCCTTTATTGATCGGTTTTTTAGTCAGTTTAGATTCGCAATCTTTTATTAATTTCTTTATTTCATCTTCATAGTTGGTATCAATGTTTGCTATAAATTTGTTCAAAATATTACTAAAGGCATTAATCCACATACGTCCCAATAACGCATTTTTATTAGATTTAACGATCACGGCTTGCAAGTGTTTGGTGATACCTTCGTAGGTTACTTTAACTTGAGTGACGCCAATAATTTTGATTAAGTTTCCATCATAAGCTGTGAGTTGTAGAGTGGACTTTTTAAGATCTTTAATACCTATTTGTTTAGCCATATCATGAGGTATAATTGTAAACTTGGATCCCGTATCAACCTGCATAGTAACAACAGCATCATTTACTTTTAAAGTAGTCATGAACGCATTATCATTAAGTTTAAACTCAGTTAAATTGTTGATATTAAAATCACTACCATTATTATTTTGTGTAGGGTTATATTTTTCTTCAACAATCTCTTCAATGTTCATGTTACAATTGATGTTACTTTGATTCACGTCATTATATTGTAATGGTTTTCTTTGATTAATATTTTGATTATAATTTTTCCACGTATTATTTTCTCCATTATTATTGTTATTATAGGATTGATATTGATAACCATATCGATTATTATATTGACTCTGATTTCTTTGATTGTTGTAAGACCAGGAATTGTTTTTCCCATTATAATTATTGTTTTGCCAAGTACCTCTACCATAATTGTTTGAATTGTTATTGTATTGCCAGGCATTGTTTCTATTATAATTGTTGTTGTGCCACATCGAGTTTCTTCCGTAATAGTTTGAATTGTTATTCGAAGATTGGTTATTACGAAAATTTCTAGAGTTACCCTCACTGTCTCGAAAAATATTGTTTTGATAGTTTCGGCTAGCACTATAATTAGGCCTAAAATCATTATAATTCCTCTTCTTAAAATCAAAATTTTCCTTATGAGTGTTACGTCCATTATAATTAAAATTATTTTCTTTAAAATTATTATGTTCATAATCATTAGAATTATTCTCATTATTACTAAAAGTACTTTTGCATGGTATTTTATCCATGTTTAAATTGTAAAATTTTTTATTTTTATCCAATTTTTTATCATTATCTACATAATTTGTATCGCTAACGTCTGGTTTAATATTGCTGCCATCTAACTCCACTCCTAATTTCATCATCTTATCTAAACCTTCGTGCTTATGTTTATTTAACTTCCTTCTAATATTATCATTTAAAGAACAAGTTATTAATTTCTCAATCATTCTTGTATCGTTATCAAAATCGCATTTTTTATGAAGTTTTGAAATTCTAAAATAAAAAGTATGGAAAGACTCCTCGGCACCTTGTACCGTTAAATTAAAGTTCTTTATATTTACATTAATGTCCTCACTTGGAATTAACAGTTTCAATTTACCAAAAACAATATTAAAGTCTTTTAACTGTGCTTTAGAACATATCGATGTAACTTGGTCTACAATCTCAATTGGTAAGCTACATATTAGTGTCCTAACTTTAGATGAGTCTGACTCAATATGTCCTTCAAAGTATGTTTCTATTAAGTTAAGATAAGTCTCAGATAATTTTCCTGATAACTTGGGAAATTTAGGAACATATTGAGTGTGTGTAAGAGTTAATTTTTCGTCCATGATATAATTTTATTTGAGTAAAGTAAACTTTCAATATTTAAAATCGTAAAAGCAAAACATTGTAGTTCATTAAAATCAAATTTAAGTTGTCTAAAAATTTTAATTTTAATCAAGAGAATATGGTCCACTAAGTTTTGATAGTTTATCTATAAAAATTCTAATTCGAATTCGTAAAGAGGATTTAATCCACTAAGTTTCAATATAATTTGTCTGTGAAAAATTTAATACTAATTCGTGACTAAGTTTTTTAAAAAAAAAAATTTATTGATATTCTATAGGTTAAACATTGCGTAAATTTATATTTAATAACGAAATATAGGGAAAATTTTCTTTACCCTATGAATATAATGTCAAATATATAAAGCGTAAAGATATTTAAATTTTAATATTTAATAATTTTACAAAATATAAAAATGAAATTATTGTCATCTAAAATATAGGGCTTCCCATTTAGAGACATGTAAGCACCAATCATTTTTCGTAAGGATTTAAAATAAAAAACAATTTCATTCGTCCTATTGTCACGGACATAAGAAAATTCTTTACATATTCCCATTTCTTTCAACATTTTATCAATAATAACGTATTGAGGTATATTATAAGTTTTAAAACAAAACATCACGACGTAAAAAATGAAAGATTTAGATGAAAAAATATTTTTTATCATATAACTCTTTTATTTATATATATATATACTCTATTTTATTTTTTTATTTTTTTTACCTTTTTATAATTTGTAAATTTGGATAAAATTTTGACTATCGAAAAGAAAAGTCAAAAAATTTTATTTGTCCTTATATCATCTCCAATATCGAACGACGAATTTGATAAGTAATTCGTTTACTTTTTATTTTTTACAAAAGAATTCAAGGTAAGGATATTTTTAAATTTTTTTTTTTTAAACTTTTATCATTTAACTTTATTTTTATTTAAAAAAGAAAGAAAAACGAAAAACGTACCACCGTAACCGGGGCACCATAAAAGAAAGTATTTTCGATTTAAGAAACTATTTAAATTAATTCTTTTTTAAATCAAAATTTATTATTATTATTTTCTATTTTATATCTAAAAACATAGTATATATATATATAAAAAAGTTAATTGAACATATTAAACAATCAACTTTAATATATTTTAAAAATAAACAATATTCAAATAAAACTAAAATTAACTATTCAAATTTAAATTTATTTAAATATATAATCAATCAACATATTATAAACTAAATAGTTAAATATTTATATTATGAATATAAATCAATTTACCTTAAATAAACTAATGTATCAATTAGTTTGAATCTTCTTAACGCTTTAGTTCCCTAAAATAGTATGTAATGGTTAGTACTGAAGATCTACATGTACAAGGTTAAATTGTTTTTCTTCGGCACCAGTATATTGCAAGTGAGTGAAAACTATGTGTTGAAGTTATGTATAGAAGGTTGATTATATTTTTTATCAATGTTAAATAGATCAATAAATTGACGTAATATACGTATTATAGTGGACATTTAATTTCTAGCCTTTGATTTCTGCATACCTAAATAAATTAGGATAAATATATATATAATATAAAAAATTTAATGATCGCGAATGGTAAAAAATGAGAGTTTTTATACTCATAAATTAAATTATTATTTTCAGTTATCGCTATTCAAAATAAATTTAAACAATTTATAAACTAAAAAAAAACTAAATATTTAAATCTATTTTCAATTTGCTTATTTCTGTTTATCATAAATATAGTCTACCGTTAAACATGAAAATTACACAAAATAAAATTTGAATATATCGACCAAACCAATATTATAATATAATTAAACGTACTTATGACAAGAAAAATTTGAATATATCGATAAGTCATATAATTAAACGAACTCATAACAAGAAATATTTGCATAAATAAAGTAATATTGTCTAACTATCTACATAATCACGACAGTGTATTATGTCACATTTTCATACATGCCAAGGCCAACGCTGATAGCGAATATCAGGCACCGTCTCAAAGTCTATTTATTTCTTAAAAATTCCAATAATCTATTTTTATAGTTGATTTAACTCTTATAATTTTTTTTCAGTTAAGTTTTTCTTCTTTTTCCAGCAATATTTCTCAAAATTTTGACCGAGATACGGTCTTATTCAATTTTATAAAAAAACAACTCAATCTCGAGAAAGGTTTAAATACGGCAGATACTCTTGATCTTTGAATTTGTCAGAATGTTGTAGACATAAAGAAAATATATTATTAGAGAGAATGTTATATCTAAAGAGTAAAGGAATAAAAGCCTTCATAATCATGGTGGATGAGGTAGTAGATTTCATATCAAAAAATATTTAAAGTAATAACATTAATAAGCAAATTTAAACATATTTAAAGATTTAACATAGTTACCTATTGTTATCGTAATTTTGTTGATATTAGTTAGCCATTTTAATTTAGTGATATATTTTATATATTCCTCGAGAATATAATCAAATCAGAATTAATTCAAAATGAATACGGGAGGAGATTCCTTATTGTAACTTTTATTAATATCGAGTATAAACTTTAAATTATGCTATAGAAATAAACCCAAGACCGAGATGACTGCCGAGGAATTAGATAAAAGGGAGCAAGAAGAGATGGAAACTGGACCTCTTTCTGTTCTTTTAAATTCTGTGAAAAATAATACCCAAGTTTTGATCAATTGTAGAAACAACAAAAAGCTTTTTGGGAGAGTAAAAGCATTTGATAGGTAAAATTATTTTAAGCATGATCTAAGATTGCATATAATTGATTTTTAAAAATATTTTTTCTTTAGACATTGCAACATGATTTTGGAAAATGTCAAAGAGATGTGGGTAGACCGACCAAAGGCTGTTAAGGGAAAGAAAGGAAAACCTGTAAATAAAGAACGGTTTATATCAAAAATGTTTCTAAGGGGAGATTCTGTTATTATAGTGCTCAGGAATCCATTAGCACTTGCGAAATAATTTAAATTTATAATGTAATATAAATATATATATATGTTTCTTCCTTATTGTATAAATTTTATATTGATATCTATGATTGTTATTTTTACTAATAAAAAATTTGATTCAATTATTAGTCTGAATATAAATGTATTCAATTTCATCAAATTTATTATACCTACTAGTGGTGTATCTGGGTTTTAATTTCTGAGCTCATCCAAAAATAACTGAAATATATCCCACACCCCTAATATACAGCTTTTTGTGTTTATTTCATGACTAAATTTAAATAAACTTTGATAATTAAATATCACTCACTTGGGAATGAGTAAAGATTGTCTTATCTTGCTTGATCATTTTTCAAAAATCAAGGCAAATATTTTAAATAATTTTTTTAGGATGAAATAATAAACTGGGGCATGTTAATTCACTTCAATTTATTTCAACCTTTTATTAAATAAGTGAAAAGCCAAAAAGATTTATAAAATATTTAATTTTATCAAGAATCAATGTGTTTTAACTAGGAACATAAAGAAAACGTTATTTTTTATATTACTACACAAGCCTTACTAATAATATAATTTATTAACCTTTTAGAAATCTTAAATATAATTATTGGAGTGGTACTGTTATCACTCTTTGGAGACCGCTATTAAATTGATATTGGCTCATTGGCATTCTGATTTTGATCATTTTCAATATATAGATATATTATGTTTTTGGATAAAATTTATAATCTTCAATTTATTTTTCCTTCTGCTATTGTCTAATAGACCCCAAACCATATTTATATAGAAAGGAAATTATATTTCTTCAATATTAATGATTATGATAAATTAATAATTGACTAGAGTTTTATATTCAATTATTCATTAGTGTACTTTATTCCCAAACTGCCCCCCCCCCCATTTTTTTAAAAAAAATTATTGATTCCTAAGAAATATTTTTTGGATAAATTTAAAAAAATATATATAATGGGAGAAAAATAGCTGCTCTCAAAATCACTATCGGTTTAAAAAAATCATTCATGTCTACTAAAATACCTAATAGCGCCAACTGAACCCTATATATATTGTAATGAGGAACAAGTCGAAAATGTAGTTATTTGGTCGGTGAAGTTGAAAATGATCATAGTGCCAAGATTCCGAATAAGAAAAATGAGCCTGAGCTACCAAAAACAAAATGGAAAGGTTAGATTTTTTAGTTCTTATTGCAAATATTTTTCAACTGATTTAAATCACGTATTACCAAATAGGTCAAATTTGGTGTAGTAATAGTCCGATTTGGGGTCGATTTTTAATAACGGCGAGATTAAAATCATAACCTAATAATATTATGTAATCCTCGAGAGAGATTTTGCTCATAGATTGCAGAATCTTTTAAAAATCAGATTTTTTATCAACACTACGAACCACTCAAATAAACCTACTAATAATGGAAGAGGATTTTCTTAAAATTTTATAAACACGAATAGGTTGAATTGATGCTGATGTTGCTTTCCTTGTAAGTTCTATAACTTAACTTCAATGTAGCCAAATAAAAATGTTCAAATAATATAAAATAAACCTTTATTTGCCTTATTATGGCGATCTCCTATGCCGACATTTTAGTTTTTTTTTAAATTTTTATTTTAGCATTCATCGCCAATCATGATTTTCTTCTTACCATAATCAGGCCCAAAAGAAAGTAGGCAATTTAAACGGCTTCTGGAAAATGTACCTCGAAAGTTTTTCCTCGAGGTCTTTTCTTGATTGAAAACTTTTTCCTGTTTGTGTGGGACTTTTCCTCTTTCGATAGAAGACCATTTTCACTTTTTCGATAGAACATTTTCTTAAGTCTTTCATAATTTTTCCCTTTTTCCATGCCTTTATCTTTTTTGATCAGACTTTTTCCTATTCTTGATCGAACTTTTTCCTTTTTTGTAATGTGCAAAACCCCCTTGTATCTCCAACGATGTCAAATTAGATGCTGAATCTTTTTATAACCTTCGTTGGGGCGTAGAATTCGATAACTAGAAGATTATTAAAATTCTATTCTAACTTTTTCAGCTCCATTGAGAGATTTAAATGACATATATGTCGTATTGGGATATGGAATCCATGGGGATCGGAGATTTCTAAATTTTGTATCATTTACTAAGGGCGATTTATAAATTTGGAAAGTCTAACCGGAAAGGAATTCCAGCTTATGTAGAATTAATTCAATAAATTATTGCCATTAAATTTTGCTGTATTAATCAATTTATTAAGAAAAACCTATCCAAAAAATTTACGCAAGCTTCGAGATTTCGTTAATAAATGTCCTAACCATTCTGCTATCTATGAGAAAAATCTCCAAGCTTGGTTAATATTTTTGGTTAAAATATCGGGTAAGCCATTTTTAAAAATTAAGCCGTTTGAACAGACACTAGTTTTTTTAAAAAAAATATTTTTTAATTTTCTAAAATAAATTATTTTAAAAATTTTATAATAGATTAGTGATTGACGTTCTTCTTTACCCTTTTTTTTTGGCAATAACTTAACTACGTTTTCAATTTTAAAAGAAAATAAATACGTTTTAATAATAAATGTCTTCGATGACTTACGCTTGCAATTTTATTTTTAAAAATTTTGATATTTTTAATATTATGTAACAATTACATTTTTGCGAAAATAAAATAATAATTGACTGTTATTTTATTTTCAAAGATCTGCAGAGGTACCATGGATTCTTTTAAAATGTATCTTATTTATTTTTAATTTTTTTAGCTAATAATGGCGATTTAAAATATTTAGTTTTAAAATGGCCTGGCCCCGGTATTTTTTTTAAAAATTTTTTTAAGCCAGGTCCGAATACCCTGGCCAAGCCTGGACAGGTCCCTGGTTATTTTTGTAAAAAAGAATTTAGTAAGTAGATTTTTATAATGTAGTGACAATAACGGGTTAATTTTTTAAAGTATGTACTTATATCTCATCAAATTTCTATACCAATACAAAAATGCATTTACAAATGTGTTACAAATATTCTGTATCAGTTTAAATTAATTTTAAGTCAGAGGCCTTTAGTCCCGGCCCGGGTACGTAGACTAGTATAATTTGATTTTTTAAAATAACCCAGGCAGGGCCTAAAATTTTTTATAAAATGCCCGGATCGGGCCTAAAATCTTTTTAAAAAAAATAATACCTGGGCTGGGTCGTATATTTTAAAACGGAATATTTTAAATCGCCATTATTAGCTATAAAAATAAAAAATAACTATAATAAATTTTAAATAAATCCAGGCCGCTCCGAAATTTTTTTTTAAAAATGAATCCGGCCCATGCAAATGGTATCTCCACAGGTCTCTGTTGTAAGTCAATTTTTCATCATTAACGAGAATTATTAAATCAGATAGACGTTCGAGTAGTGATATAAGAGTAACTTGGTTTTATTAGGATATGGAAAAACATAATTGAAACTATTAACTTTGGGAATGGTTTTCGAGGCATTTATATTTATACTCAACCAAAATTATATAGTTAATACTTTATTTTTAATAGTTTTACACTTACACTGCCCAATCATTGATAATAATATAAATTGTAATATAGTCATAAATATTGTCTCATTTACATATATATTTTATAATTGAATCCCTAACAGGTATTGTACAAATACAATTTAACTATATCAACGTTATTATATAATATTTATAAAATCATTAAATCAACCTATTTCCAGCTATAGGACAATTCTCATTTTCAATCCAATTTTATAAACATATTTGATCATAATTATATTTTTTTTGTATATTTTTATATGTGATATTTTTCAAATTAAATCGTATATTTCCATTTTGTGTTCAAATAACTCAAATATTCGCTCTATGGAGTTGAAAAAAATTTCTTAATTGCCCCTACAAAATTTATGTCTGCCCTCCACCATAGGTGAAACTAGAATCGGGCCTGAATCTTAAGATAAAATGCATTTCATGGCAGATAAAAATATTTAAATAAGTTGGTTCATAATAACTATGCAAAATAAAATGGTTATATTCTGGGAACTTATTGTGGAATATGGGAATAAAATGGTTTCTTTTAATAGAGGTAAAAGGCATTATTGATATTTTCGAAGATCTTTTTCATTAGCTATTGACATTTTGGGTAAAGAAAGTTATTATTATTTTTATTTTATATTATAATATTATTTATATTATTATAGTAATAAATAATTTTCCTTCTAGTCTAAGACATCCCTAGCAAGAAGGCATATTTTATATTGCGCATTCATTTTTTAATAATTTTGTTGTTTATTATAATAATTTTATTTTTTGGTAAAATAGAATTCTATATCTTTAATTAACTATCAAAAAAAAATTTGCGTTAGGAGGTGTCCGGTCCTATTGTGTTGGGACGCGTCCCGTTTTTTTCAATAAATCAGTCCCAACAACGGTCTGTCCTTCTTAAAAAACGCAACCGTTCAAAAAGAAAGAAGACCGGAATGATATATATATATTTAAGTTCACTATCGTATCATGCACTAAGATATATGCTATGATAACATTAAACTATGAATTACATATCACTGGGCCTATTAGACCCCAACTTATATTCAAAAGTAAGGAATTTGAATTTTATTAACTGGATAAAGTCAATGATAAGATAACTACGTTGGAGTATTTTATTGGGTCTTTAGATCCTCTTATTGTAGGTTTTATGCTATGTTAGATTTTTATAAGTTATTTTGGGTTTCCACTTTCTTTTATAAAACTGCTTTTTCCCTAAAAATTTTGAATTATTAGTCGTTATTTTTAAAAGTTACTAACCTTTATTAATTTTTCTTTATTGTTATATATTGTGTACATTTTTGGGAAGGAGGTTGGTAAGGGGGCATGTGGAGGAAAAATATTTATTCGCTTAAAATGATATTTACGAGAACAGGCAAATTTCAAATTGGTGGCTACGCCTATGTAAGGGGATGAATCGGCTTAGCATTTATCAGTAATGGTTTAGTTAGGGTATTCTTTAGTTTCTTACTATATTTTTTTTTATAACATAATGGTATCTCATTACGAACCTTTCCTTATTATTATTATTACCCTTAAATAATTTTTAAAATATGGATATTATTTGGGCAATTGTGAATTAATAATTTTTAAAAAAAAATGCAACAGGAGATGAAGATTTTATCGTTTTATAATTTCTTATACATAGAAATTTTTAAGCTACGAAATACTGCGATCATATATGTCGTTGCCTTATGATAAACGTATCGTAAAATGAGCAATATTCTTAATGATGTTGTTATCATTTTTAAATTAATTAATCTTTAAAAATTATTTATTTATGCAAAGGAATTTTCCAAATTTTAATGATCCTACGCACAATTTTAATCCATCAAATTTTTCGCCAAATCAAAATTCATGTCCCGTGGAAGTAAGGCAAATTTATGAAAAATTAAAAACGTCCCAACCCTTCGCCCCCGACAATTATTTAAACAGTAAAGCTTATGACATCTACAGATCTCAAAAAAATACTTCGAACAATATGAACATTCCATATTGTACAAATCCAACGCCGTTTCATAATATGCTTAATCAAAATTATTTCAATACGCCCTTAGGTAATCAGGCATTGCCGCGGGGATACAATTTGCCACCTCAACAAACCCCTTATTCTAGAATGTTCAACAAATCTTCACCGAATCCACAGTTCACTTTTTCGAATACCGTGAAAAATGAAAACATAGATAACAAAAGACTCCTACTGAGTGGAGTGGATCACAGTAGACTCCCTGCTGGATTAGGAAATTTACATGGTGTAATGCAAAAGGAGGCAATTATAGGCGATGATATTTTAGCCGGTGTAAAATCGGTATCCATGGACTGCCATCAATTTTCGGATAAAATGCAATCGTTATCAAAATCCTTGAACAAAATGGTCGATAAGATCGAGGAAAAACGAAATTTGGTCTTGCAAGACTTCGCAGATATGAGGAGGGGAGCTAAGCCCAAGAAAATATTCGAATTGATGGAAGACATGGGTAGACATAAGATTTATAGGAAGGGAACTAAGTGGGATACTAGTAAACCTCCTAAAGAACGTCGAAAAAAATCTGACAAGGGCTCGAGGCGTAGCGTGGTTAGTGGGGATCTGATAAAATTAAAAGCAGAAAAAAAGAAAAATGTTTGAAAAAGATATACAAATAACACATATTATAATGGTATTCTATATTACTATATACATTATCAAAATTTATATAATATTTAAATTTTTATGGTTAATTCTATTTTTTCAACAATAAATTAAAATGTTTATTTATTGTAATAAACTATTTGAATTTAAAATATAGCTTAAACTATTTATAAAAAAATGTATAATTTTGAAGTATTACTATATAACTCTGGCCCACTACAAACGTAAAGCATTTACCTAATAACGCCAGAAATAAATGATATGCCTAATTGAATTAACGACTGTTGCAATTTATTAAATTTTTTGAAAATTGCTCAGTTTGCATTGGGCCTATAACTCCCATCGCACTTTTAATTTAGTGACAATCAAAAAAATGGGATTAAATATCAATTCTATTGTTTAGATTTAAATGATATATTTAAATTATGTAGATATCTTTCGAGGTTTGCAATAGCTAAATTTTTACCCGAAAGCATCTCCTCCTACCTAACTCACTCTCTCGGAGTTAAAATCGTCACCAGCCGACCCATTTATCTGAAAATATGTTTAACCCACCCGCCAAATTTTTTATAATTACTTGATTGGCTGGTTTGGATTTTTATTTATTTAGGTTTTATTATATTCATACTTAAGCTTATAAAATAAACAATTATTAAATTTTTAAAAAAAAATTTAAAAGCTCGTTCTAATCATTTCGACAGAAAAATTATCTTAAACTCACCCGCCCATTTTTTAAAAATAATTTTAACTACACTCCACATCTTGAAACCATTTCCGGGGGGGGGGTTAAAAACTCGACAATTGCAGACCTCCAATGTAAATATTCTTTTAATGGCTTTTTCCTGGTTTTGTTAAACGGCTAGATTAGAGCCGATTTTTAAAAATGGCTAACTTAATATTTTCAGAAAAAATATTTACTGAAAGCCTTGAGTTTTCGCGAATAAATTGTTCCAGATCTCTGTGCCATCTATGAGCAAAATCTTCAGGCTTGTATCATTTTATGGATAAAATATTGAGTTAGCCATTTTTAAAATTCGGTAATCTAGCCGTTTAACAACGGTAGTTTTTCCTGTGGGCGGTTAATATATTAATATCTGTATCAAATCGATGGCAAAACCCCTTTGAATAAAATATGTAATTGGACTTATTTTTTTCAACAAAATAGAAAAATCCGTTTGGCGTTTTTAAACATTAATTTCACAAATTAGAACCGATATCGCTTTTTTTGCCGTTACCACCTGGATACCAAATTTTAAAAAAAAATGAAACTAACGAACTGCGACAATAATTGATTACTTCTGTAATTAAATTACAACCGTTAAGATTTAGAAGATGAAACTAGCGGACTGCGACTATTACTTCTGTAATTAAATTACAAACGTTAAATTTTAAAACATTTATAAAACAAAATATTAATAATAACATATTATATCCACGTTTGACAGATTGTGAAATACAAATTTAATCCCAACAAAGGATATAATCACTCTTCAAAGTAGACAGTTGCCCAATTTATCAAGGCATTCTCTTATAGTTGTTATTAGGAATTTGATTGGGACTCAAAATTTTTCAAATTAGGTAGTCGGCCGAATTATTAAGAGCCCCAACAAATTAGACAGGTGTGTTTGTATCTTGACTCAAATTCGATTGTCAGGAATCTTTAATCAGTCCTAATTAATAATCTCTTTAACCTTTAATCCTACTCCCTCAAATACTTTAAATTTATTTAGTCCAATTAAAAAAAAAATTTTTGGTTGAATATTCCTTGCGTTGAACTATTATCAATTTGAAGATGGGAATGAGCCCGGTTTTGATTAATGGAGAAAAAACAAGAGGGAGAAAAAATTGAGATTATTATAATAATTTTGTAAAATAATACTGATCAGTCATCCTTCTTTATTTAACAATGCCTTTAAAAAAAATTAGTTTATAATATAATTATTATATAATATATTTTTATTTTTAAAAAAAATATTTTTCCACAATTTTAATTAATTATTTTTAATAAAATAATATAATATAAATACAAAATGATATCGAAAAAAAAAATTTTTTCAATATATAATTTATTTTTTTTGCTTTTTTGTTTTATATAATTTTAAACAAATTTGCAAGCTAATGTGTATAAATATAAAAGTTTATAAACGATTATTTTTGAATAAAAGGATGAAGATAACAATAATAATAATGAGATATTATATAAAATAACACAATTATTTCTAGAATTTTTTAATTATATCTTAGAATTTTTTACGATATATTTAATTATAGAATTTCTCAGGGAAGTCAGGAATTTTTTATGACAGCACAGATTACACGATATTTGGGACCAGAAATTAAAGCAAAATATAATAAAATGCAACTAATTTTTCAATTTAAAATATATATAATATAATTTTTAAAAATTGCCAGAATATCTTAAAATTCACCATTTTTTTAAATCATATATTTAATCTCTTTTTTAAAATACAATAATATTGAAATAAAAAAATTTTAATTATAAAAAAAAACATGAAAAAGAGCACGTAAATAATTTGAAATACAAAATAAAAATTATTTGATTTTTTTTATTTGGATTATAAAGAGGAAATAAAATATCAAGCAAAAGAAGATATTTTTTTGGAATGGTGGTTTCTGGCACAACTATCGAGATTATCTCTATTCTTCCTGTTCATGTCCGAATCGATCATAATGCTTGTTTCGTTAGACCCCGGTAGCAGGGTTTGGTACAAGTGACTTATATGAATCCGCCTCGAGGCATCGTAGCAATGAATAAACTTTGCCGCGGTGGTGGAATTATTTTTTTCGTATCTTTCGGAAGTTTTGGTGCAGGTATCATTATTTACTTCGTGACGGGAGATGATTTCTAGAGGAGGTTCGAATTTTCTAACATCATAGGTGTTGTTGGGATAATGATTGGATTGTATAGCTTTGGTAAGGTGATATGTCTGCTGCAGTAGCGAATCGTTCGTACTGGAAGCGCATTGAGGGAATCGGTAGGGGTGGGAAGAAGCCGGATTTTGGGTTTTCATATTGAGCTTTGTTAGGGTTAGTTTGAGTAAGGCTTTGAAAAAGTCGGGTACGCCGTCATAACCTAAAAACCCATAAGTAAAATTTAATTTTTATACCAAATGAAATAAAACGTATTTGGGTTTTTTTATGTGTAGTATTTAGGAAATGGAATCCATGCGGATTCGTAATCTTTTTATTTTAAATCATTTGCTATAAAGGCGATTTATAATTTATCCGGAAATGTTTTTCAGCATTTATAGAGTAAACCCACATGTAAATTTCGATTTACCTTAAACTTTAGAAACTACTCTCAATTTACGTTTGATTCTTCATATAAATTAAAAAGATAATCAAAAGTTTATGGCGAAAACTGAGGTGCCCTACACATGATGGAAACTCCGGTTAACCTCTCCCTCATTCATAGATAGCGCGAATTTGGGGCGAATTATACAAAATAAGCTGTATTTTCCGTTATTAATTCGGATTAAATGTAAATAAGTGGTAACAATGCATTCAAAATGAGCACGAATTCGCGGCGAAGTATACATAATATATTTTTGTTTTTATAATTTAAACAAAAATATTTCTATTTGGGCAAACCAAAAATTCAAATTCTTTTGTATAAATAAACAGGCTAAAGTTTATAATATAACATCATGCCTTTCTTTTTATAGACAAAATTATCACTAAAAAAAATATGATTCACTTAAAGTACAATGCATTATTGTTCTCAGTGGGTTTTTCAAATCGGTTAATTTTTTCACTTCTTAGTCTTTGCTCTATAAATGAATATATACCAGGAAATGCGTTGATATCGATTATATGGCATTTGCCTGTCTTGTGATCTCTTATGATATCTATTCCGAAGAGTGACAAACGCAAAACGTCCCTAAATATTTGAACTACTCTCCGCACCAAGTTGTCGTCTAAATCAACGTTTCGCCCATTAATGTTGAAGGTATTATTATTGAAATTATAGGTATCGTTGTTTAAACTTGTAATGGAGTTAGAGCAATCACCGTCGATTAGATCGTCAAGCTTTTTAAAAATAATAACACATTAAATAAGACTGTACATTATCTACAACTATCCAAAAAAAATGTATGCTTTTAGCGCAAAATTAAAGGAAAGGATTAATCCATTAATCTGGAAATTGAAGGGTTGGTGGGAGGGGGGGGTGTTAATGTAAAAGAAGTAGTGGGAGACCGAAAGTCCAAGGATAAGATTTTTATCCAAAGTCTTAAAAAGTGGAATACCCTTTCTCTACGACAAAATTATTGTAATTTATAATAAAATTAATTGCTTAGTTTTTTTTTACTTCCGTTAAATTCGAGCAGGCATCGGCTCTAGACACATCGTTGCTTTTGAAAAAAATAGTCGCGTTATCTAAAAAAATGAAGTTATAATAAAAATAATATTTAAAAAAAGCTAGGGCTTACATATATAACTAAACGTTGGTAGAAAAAATAATCTAATTAATAATTTCTTTGAGCTTAAATGATAATTATATTTTTTAAAAAACGAAATAAGAGATTTATAATTTATTTTATGTGGTCACATTATCTTTTACCCAAAAAATATCATATTAATTAGTGATTAATAAGCTGAAAATAAATCTCACAGCTATACAGCTGGAAAGCTAATTCATGACCGAAAATTATGACATTTATAAGGAGTTCCGTTAAAAAAAATGTGAAGGTGTTCCTTTTTGTCTTGATTTTTTTAAAATCTTTTAGGCCAAATCAAGGAAAATGTTATATGAAATTTTTAAAAAACGTTGCGTAAATAAGTTATGATCAACCTCCGGGATAAAAATTTTTGAGCGACGGTCTTTTAACCACAAAATATAGCTCCCCTATCACGAACACCTTAAATAAGAGCGCGTTGTGATTAACGAACGATTGAACGACGAAGGAGCAAGGGGGGAGTAAGGGTGAATTATCATAAAGGCCCCGCGAGTTGAATACGAGGGCCATCTCGTGACTACGGCAGGAACCGTGGGCCTCCAACGGTTTACAGACTTCGTTTTTTTTTAAAATTCAAAAAAAGTTTTTTCTTAATGATTATCCCGAATCTAGAATTCCAATTTCGGATACAAGGAATCTTATCATTCACAAAATGTCTTCGGGGTTTTTTTTACATTTCTAACTTTTGACTTTTTAGATCTCGGGTCCCATTACTGCTAGAATATTTTAAAACAACAAAATTTATGAAACGAGCAGGGTTTGAAAATGGGGAGATTTACATCTAATTCGAGCTTAAAAATTCGACCCCTGCAGGTCTCTGGCGATATTGGCTTAACTCTGTTCAACTAAAATAAATTTTTTTAATTGTGTGAAATATATTAAAAATTAAACAAGTATCTGAGCAAAGAGTAGGTTTAAAGGTAAGAGAGATATGGGTTTAGGGTTAAGATATATTTTCAAAAATTAAAAAAATAGTCTTTGATAAAATAATTTAATCCTTTTTACTAATAACCTTTTAAATACAGGTCATGTGATTATAAATAGACAAATAGAAATTTAAATAAATCATGACAGTATTTTCCTTGAGTTGGGCGATAATCGTCTCTGGTATTATGTGTACAATTTAATTTTTTTTAAAATCAATTGAATAATCTTACTGAAAGGGTATCGAATATTGTAACGTTTGAGAAGTTTTTGATTGAGTTTCTTATTGGCTTTATTGATATTCAGAACAGTGAAATTGGGAGTGTCGATTATGTCTAAAATATCAATATTTTTAAGAAAGATTAATCAAATTTTACCGAAAAATGCAAAAAAAATATTGCAATCATGCATAAAAAAAAATCTTTTAAATTGAATTTAAAAAAAAAATTTTTTAAGAGCTTATTTGTGGTAAATCTTAGGGCAATCATCATACCCTAAATTATTGTAATAAGTGACACGACGAATAATATACCATTTATGTATTGGATTGGAGGTTCTATTTATCTCTTTTATGTACATAACATAAACGTAACGAGGAATAACTGAAGGGGAGAATTTTGGATAGCGTTTGCCGCCCATAATTTTTTATTGGATGATTTCAAGCCTGTTTTTTTGCAGACCATAGGTTGGGTTAGTTTCGTTTTGGTTTTATATTTTTTTTGGTAAAAAAATAAAATTATAAAAAGAATATCCGACCATAGAATATTCGTCATTCTTTAAGCGTAATGTTTGTGTTGCGATTGCGAGAACAAAGCAAGGCTTACTTTTTTTTCTCTTGTCCATCAACCCGAAGAAAAGGGGGTTTTAAGAAGATTTTATATGAGAAAAATCATCCAAATTTTAGTGCAGGCTTCTACTGAATGCGTAAGGAGACTAATATTGTACTTACGCATTTTACTCAAAACAGATCAGTTCTAATGTATGGATAGGTAAGGGTACGCAACCTATAATGAAGGCATAAGTTTAAGCAAAGCTTATATGCTATGTAATAGGTAAACATATTAATTAATTTTCCTGGTTTGAAATAGGCGTACAAAAAAATAATATGTAATAAAATTATGAGATGAGCAATTTAAAAAAATTATTTAAAAGTATTGTTTAATTTATTATAGAAATTTATAGGTGTAATAAAGTTTGTTTTTTTTTAAATTTATATAGCGTTATTTTTTAATACTTAGAAAATCAATAATAAAAATAATTAAATATATGGGAAATACAAACGACGTAAATGTTTTTCGAAATCATATTTCAAACGAGATTATAATGGTAATAAAAATCATTGGTTGGCGTGGCGGCCCGGTTAAAAAGAACAAATTAAGTTCTTTTGGGCTAGACCCATAGAGGTCTCATTTTTTACAAGTAATCCAACCCGACCAATTAAAATTTTTGTTGCCGGATTTTTAAGCCAGATCACTAATTATTTTTACTCTGGCCAATCCAAAATTTTGCCCAAGTCGTCCAGCATGGCCTAAAAATATTTTATTGCGAGGCCGAACTTTTGGACGCCTAGCCGCCTTGACCTCTAATAGGATAATATACTAAACTTGTCCGAAAAATAAAGAAACTTTACAAACTCAAACTTGCCCATAAAACTGGTAGAATTTTGTTTTTTTTTAAAAACCTATACAAAAAATAAAAACTATCTAAATAAAAGCTCGCCCGTTTATTTCTTAAAAAATAGTTGGCTGGATGTTTAAAAATTATTTGGTTGATTATGTAATTTATTTATTTTAACATATTTTATACAATTATAAAATAGATCAAATTTTGAAAATCGATCATTTTTAATAAAAATAATACTTACGCCTGTCTTCGGGGGGAAATGTAAATCTTCTCACGCTTATTATTCCGCCCCTTAAGGTCACCCATTCTCTTATCATGCGCTTCCTCTTTCAAATACCACATTATTTTCAATCCGAAAATTTATAAATTAAATGCACAATCTATTTCAAGCAGTCGATTCTTAAACAATAACTGCCGCTCATTAAAAACAATTCACAAATTATTTAAAAGCCGCGATGAATAGTATGAAGGTATTTTTTCCGCAGGAAATTTGGGATCATCAAATTGCGTGTTATTTTTATAACCATTTAAGAACGAAGTTTCGGTGATTTAATTTTACATTATAATATAAATAATTATTATAAATTCAGTCGTATTTTATTAAAATAGTTTGGGCTAACGTTATGTTTTGCTCGTATTTTTATTATGTTTTACCTTTCTTCCCATCGTTGACTTTGGGTCGCATGTAGAATCTGACAATATTTATTTTCAACAATTACTATATTTTTATTCTTGCGCCCAGTGAGCTCAATTATCGTGTCATTATTTTAAATTTATATATATACATTTTAGAAAAAATTTTGAACTAATGAAATTTACATCTAAAGAGAGTATATATATATATATATTAAATTGAACTTTTATTATTTATTTTAAATAAATGATAAATTTTATATATTAGTAATAAACACTATAAATAAATAAATAATTTAACTTCAGAAATTTTTTTTATTTGTCTCGAAAAACCCGAAATAAATTATTTGTCCGCCCGGACTGAATTTAGTTTAATATAAAATAATTTAACGTTTTTTTTAATTGTAAAAAAAAATATTCTACAAATAAAAACTATTTAGCGCCTTGTTTCTTGCAAGAATTTCAAAATTTATCAATTTATTAGATAAAATGTAATGATATCATATTTAAAAATCTAAACCGGACCCGGCCCAAAATTTTATAAAAAATATTAGGCCCGACCCAGTGCGAACCGAAATTATTTTATAAAAATAAACCCGGTGGACTTGGGCCGGTTCGTGATTTGCAGATCTCTAATTGGTGCATCTGATCCATTTATAAAAGAAATCAATTTCAAATTTTAAAAAATGATTGAGCCAACTTAAAAAAAAAGAATATAATTCATCTGTTTCCCCTGATTAAAATTTATTAAAAAATTCATAATGAAAAAATTTGTCCAAATAAAATTTTTAAGATTAAAATTTTACGGTCGAAATTTAATTACGAAAAAATGAAACATCTGGTATTTATTATTGATTAATGTGCTCTCTACATCTACGTCGATTAAATTTCTTTTAAAACAAACTAAATGTGCGATAAAATTTATGAGAAGATAGGAAAATGTATAATGCATAATAAAATTACAAATTTTTATGTGATAAAAGTTGGGTACACGCATAGAACAACCGAAATTATATCGGACCCATTTTTAAAACTTACGCCTCATTTATAGTAAACGGGTTTTGTTCAAGCGGTGCGGTATTTAATTGTGTGATATTTACAAAATAAGGCCAATAAATAGGTCCAATTTATAAATATGGAGCGAAATGATGCAAACGCTATGATAAAATTTATGAAACTTATGTTGCGACGTATATTTCAAAAATTATCATCACTGTGAAACAGCTATGATTTCGATAGTGATAAATACTGCACCGCTTGAATAAAACGCGTTTACTATAAATGAAACCTTAGGTAAATTTAAAAAAAAAATTTTTTTTAAGTGTACCGTTCATATGACAAAGGGCATTCCGTATCAATTTGTACTGTTGAAAACGATTCAACAGCAACCGTACGTTGTCGAACGGGTCTATCACGAGCGTATGGGGGTGATTGTTTAAGTAAGTCTTTTTTTAATATAAAAAAATTGAATTATGACGAATGATTGACATATAATTTAAAAAGAGGGAAAACAAATAATATTGATTTTATTTTATATTACACCAAGACTGGTCGGTAATTAGTCACATTGGAAAAATATTTTTAACGGTTAATTATCAGCTTATGATTGAAAAAACTTGGCTACTAATAAAAAAAATCATGTGATCGGGATTACCACATCTGATGTAATGTGAAACAAATGAATTACTAACTTTCTGGATATTTTAATTTTTTTCTAAATGCGATTTAAACATGTACATTATTTATATTTAAGTTTACGGCCTGTCATAGTTTAGCATTAGCCAGCATATTGCATATTAATTACACATGTTAAAGTTTGGCACAACAACATATTACATATCTTAGCAAAAAAATTTTAATAAGTTTTTAATTATTAAGCTGGTAGTGCATAAAAAAGGCACTATAATTTTTTAATTTTTTAATATTAATAAATTTCTTCGTGTCAAAAATAGAAATTGAAGATGACACATAAATAGCTCTAATTTTCAAAAAAAAAAATTTTTTTTAATTTATTCATTTTAAAAAATTGCATTAAAATATGATGAAAGAAATAACTTGAAATGTAAATTAACTAAGCAAGTTATTCTATTTTCCTTTAAGGAGTTTTTAAGAATAATTACTATTTGCATTCAGTTCAAATTATTCGAATAATTTGATGAATATATTGACAGAATTTGTTTACAGAACATGTGAACAAGATAATCAACGAAAATTAAATGTATATTAATTTAATTTATAATGCCAACCAAGCCGGCTGTTGTTTTTATTGTTCTTTTTTGTAAGACATGCGATTTTTTAACAGCAAATAAGTTCCAACGGAGAAAAGCCTTTGGCAAGCAGTTGGGTGTATCTTTTTTAATCGCATCACTTCCGAGTGGCAGCAACAGAAATCACAAGTAGTGATGAGTAATCGGCTAATTATAACCGACCCCAAAAGGGCTTAGCCTAGGTATGAAAAATGGCTGAGTTTAATTAGGTTTATCCGAAATAATTAATCAAAAATTAGGCATAATAAGATAAGGAGCACGAATAATCGTCCGAGGGTTATGCATGATAAGCTTAGCCTGAATTTATTTATTAAGACGGCTTATCTGAGTAACGCTGACAGCCGAGCTTTTTAGCCCGTGCTTATTTTAGGCTAGGCCCAATTAGGCTTAGGCGAGATTTTTAGCCAATTACGCAGCACTAATCATAATGTGATCAAGCTTTACTTTTTTAAAAAACATAAATAATTAATAAAAACGAATTATTCGTTTCTTCGGAATAATTGTTTATTCGTATTAACTATCCGATCCGTTCGTTTAAATTAACTTGTTAATTTTAGTTAAATTAATGATTGATTACGAAAAAAATATTATTTTACAAGATTATAAAATTACATCTATAAAAATAAATAAAATCATCTAATTTTTTAATTGATCATAAATAAGGAATATTTATTATTTTACGATTTAAAGCCATCCCATACCGCTACTAAAATAGTTCTCTCGCGGAATGTATAAGAAACGCTAATAAGGATCGTTTATAAATTAACGTGTGTCGGGGTGGCCATATGTTCGTCCGGTCTTTTAAATTTTAGGTTGGGAAAGTCGCTATATCAGAAATTGGAAATATTGCTGTTTATAGAACAGAATACATCAACGTCCTGAATTTCCTTTCCAATTATTTTCGCAATATTAATTAGTGTTAATTTCAAATTCTAGGGCTAAACTATTTTTAATCATATGTGTTCAATGTTCAAGTTACCACATTTAAAAAAAAATTAAGAACATTTTAACTATTTTTTTGCAATTTGTTATAAAAAAATTTTGTTCGTCTTTCCTAGAAGGAGAGAAGTTTCCAAGGACGCTATATCCTGAATGAATAAGCGTCCTTCCCGCCCACATTCTCTACGCATGCGCATCACAACTTAAATTTTAATATTGGACATCTAAAATTAAAATAAAGGGATAACATTACGATATTTTATTTATGTCAAATCAATTTTTTTAAAGTTTTACCTAAAAAATTTACAATTCAGATTTTTTTTAAAAAAATTATTATACTTGAAATTTTTGGCAAATTAATAAAGCTTTTGTTTCGTTAAGATCAGCTTTGGCAATAACATCTGTCAATTTATGTATAATCAGATCAAAAGGCCCTTGCTTATCTAGATCTAGGTCTAAATTTATCTATTTTTTTAAAAATAATAAATAATCTTAAAAATCATAACTTATCTTATACATCTCGTAACAATTAAAATTGTCATTCCTAATTTGTATGCGCAACTTAAAATGAGTTCCAAAAAATATGCATTTATTTTTATCTAAGACTAAGATCGTACCAGAGCGTTCTCGTGTAAAAATATAATGCAAGTCAAAAAATGAGTTGCGAAAATAGTTTTCAAAAATTTGGATATTTTCTAACTTTTGCAATTTTTTTTATCGTCTGTTCACTAATTTAGAATTAATTCCAAATAATGTCTATGTTTTATAGTGTTGTTAAACGGCTGACTCAATATTTTAGTCAGAAAAATATTGCCTAAGCCTCTAGATTTCGTTAATATATGTCTAGACCTTTGTTCCTTCTATGAGCAAATCTTCAGGCTTGCGTAATATTTTTCTAGATGAAATATTGAGTTAGCCATTTTTAAAAATCAGCTCAAACGAGCCGTTTAAAGTTTTAAAGAAATATGATCCCGTAAAATTATTAACTATATTTATTTATAGTTTTTTTCAGAGACTGGCAGACCGGGCCCAGTCCATTTTATTTTTTTTAAATATACCAGGGCCGGCAGGTTTACTTTTTTTACCAAATATTTTAAATATTATTAGCTAAGAATTAAAAATTAATGTAATTTATTTTTAAAAAATCCGGGCCGGGCCTGAAAATATAAAACTCGGGCCAGGCCGAGCAATTACTACCTCTGTAGGTATCTGGTTTTTTTTTATAATGAATACCAAAAAACACTAATTTCTCAAACGCGGGAATCTTCCGGTTCGATCTTAGCATAAATAAATTTAAGAACATTAAGGAGTCGAGATACGGTTTAGCTGTTTTTTTTAAAGAATTCTGAATTGCATTCTAAATATAATTTTCTTTTCGGAATAAAAGGATATTCATAATAATTCTATTCAATTTTTAAAAAATAAATTCCTAAAAAAAAGTAAACCAAAAAAGGAGCTGCCGAAACTATTTATCTAAATAGAATGCGATTAAGAATTCTTAAGAATTTAGAACTAGATAGAAGCTAGAGCGTTAATTTTAACGGTAAGGCGTTATTTTTATTTATTAATATATAAGGAATCATAAGAATGACATAAATATAAAATGTGAAAGATAAGGTATTTTTACTTGAACCAATTCGATGCCAACTTGACTAAATTATTTATTTATTTTACAAAAATAAAAGAAAATTTAATTAGATATAATAAAAAAATATGATAAATATTAATTATTAATTATGGTGTACATTTTGTGTGGGTGTTTTCAAAAAAGCAGACTATAGAATAAGGAACTTTCATAAAAATTTTTTTAATGCTATCTCATATGAGACTGGATAGCGCAATTAAAATAAAATGGTTTTATATTACAAGTACTAATTTATATGATTTTTGTTGAAGGACATATGAAATGGGAAAATAAAAAAATTTGCTCAAAGCTACCAAGGTTTTGAATGAATGAGTCATAAAAATGAAATCTTTATTTTAAAATTATAAAAATTTGTGAATTTTGATGTTAGATAATTATCAGAATTAATTTTGATCACTACAAGGAGTAAAACAGATTACGATTTGATATTTACATTTGATTTATAATTTTTAAAACTACCCATGCATTTTTTTAAGATAATTCATCATAAATATTAGGAAAATATCAATAATTGAGATCAGAGATTTAAGATAATTCATCATAAATATTAGGAAAATATCAATAATTGAGATCAGAGATGTAAATTTTCCGGGAAAATAGGTTTAGGGGAAATTTTCCTGGGAAAATTGGGGAAAAAAGGGATAATTATGGGAAATAACGAGAAATTAAAAAATAACCATAAAATATGCACTTTAAACCTTCAATTTTTTTTTATTGAATAACTTAATTAAATTTGGGGAACTAAGGGAAAATAAAATAATTAAACAATAAAGACAAAAATACACTGTAAACGTTTCATTTTTTTTGAATAACTTTATTAAATTACAAGAAGCATGTGCTATAAATTACATTTAAAATTCATAGGATGCTAATGAAATAGCATCAACAACATCTTCATGAGATGTAATTGAAATATCTCATTATAACTTAATATTAATAAATCGAAATCTGAACTCTTTTGATGATGTCCCGAACATGATGTATTTGTGTGATCCTTTAAATGTATGTTATGCCTGATTGATATTAATTTTCGATTTTTTTATTATATTTCTCGTTTTTGAATGAATTTTTCCAAATGCTGACAAGACTCTAGGCACTTGAGGGTGGTATCGAAAGACATCTTACTGTCACTTGACAAAGGAGTTGATTTGTACACAACCCTTTCCACCATGTGAATGGTTTGGTATGGATTAAGCTCTCCCATATGCCAGCTCCTTTATAGAAATCTTGTTTTGAACGATATTCTGCTAAATTACCTATAATTTTTCTAATATTGCAATTAATTTGGCCTTAAATAATATTTATTAAATTTAAAGCTACTGTTAATTCGCGATCTGTTAATTACACACCATAATATCTAAGATCCAGAAGATTTGCTGCATAATGATATTCTAGGCAACAAAATTTCTTTCATTTATTAATATGCATCTTAACACTTTTCAAATCATTTTCATTAAAAATAAAAGTTGATGACTTGGGTTTATCTTTTATATCCCAATACTTCTGGTACTTCAGATCTGTATCCGATTCTACAATTATAATTTTGTTAAATAAATTCCAAAAAAGTCAGTAGACTCCAATTCCAGTATCCTTCTTTGTCTAATATCCTTTTTGTTTGCCTATAAATAACTTGAAATTGCAATTTCTTGCAAAACTTCCATTATATTAATAATATTGTATGAGAATACCATGTTTAATATTTTACCTTTGTTTTTGCAGAGTTGCACTCAATGTTGCACTAATAAAAAATAAGTTTAAAGACTCACGAGGAAAATAAAAATTATTTTAAAATTTATGATATAATAAATTAAATTATAAATCACAATTTTTGAAATAAAATATTATGCTTTATAAAATATAGATCTAATTTTTGCAATAAAATATTATATTTATATTAAAGGAAAATTCGGGAAATTTCCCTACCTTTATATCTCTAATTGAGATACAGGCAGGCGCGTACGCAGCGGGGGGGGGGGGGCTGGGGGACAAATTCCCCTCCCCCCAAAGCCAAAACATGCAGATGCTCTCAAATTTTTTTTATAAAGATAAAAAAAAGTAAGGGCCTATCATTTAAACATAAATTTTAAATTAACATTATTTCATAACTATTCTTTAAATTAAAATATGATGATATTCATGTTAACCCTGTATTGCATACTGTGTATCTCAAGCCACATACCACAAATTATATAATAAATATTTTATAAATAAATTTTAAATCAATTGCATGGTGTGTATTTGAAGCCATATTCTATATCTTCGATTGGAATTTTAATTTGGGCCACGTGATCTATTATTTATTTTTAATTTCGCATTTTATTAAACCCTATTTTTAAAAATGGCTATTTTTTTATAAAATTTTTCTTCTCAATTTTCTACACATCGTAAAAGGATAAATAATATATTTGACAAATTTCAAAACATTAAAATTAGATAAATAAAAGGTAAAAATTAATGTTTATGAAATTATTTTATATATATTTATTATTTTTGATAATTATATTTTGTAATAATCATACGTTGCTTTAAAGACACATTATGCAAATAAGGTATTTTATTTGAGTTTTATATTTTTAGAATTATGAATTGTGGTACCATACCTAATGATAGTGAAGATTCAAATTTAAGTGAATCGTCTGATGAGGAGTTTCTGTCAACCCAAAATAATGATTTAGGTATATTTAAAATGTATGCTCTTATATAATCTATAAATATCTAGATTTCAATGAGAGTGATGAATCGGAAGAGGATGAAAATATAAATAATGAAAAAGGAATCGTGAGAAAAATGATTTGGAAAAATTGCTTAACTAATTTACCATTAGTTATTCCAAAGTGGAAAGGAGAAAACCCAACGGTTGATAAAGTAAAAAAACCAATGGATTATTATAATACATATCTCAATGATTTATTACCTCTAATTGTTTACGAATCAAATTTATATGCAATTCAATGTAATTCCAACAAACCTTTGAATTTATCGATAGATGAATTAGAAAAATTTATAGGAATTATTTTTTACATGTCAATTATTAAACTTCCCAGAGCACGTCTCTACTGGGCCACCAATACAAGACAGGCCAAGGTGGCTGATGTCATGACCCTAAATCGCTGGGAACAAATCAAATCATTCATTCATATAAATGATAATGACAAATTTATTCCACTTGGAAGTGAGGGCCATGACCCACTTCATAAAATTAGACCCTTGATAACTATAACCAATAATATACTAAAATCTTTATCGATAGGGGAAAATATTTGCGTAGATGAGCAAATAATTCCATACAAAGGGATGAGCAGATTAAAGCAATATAACCCCCAAAAGCCCAAAAAATGGGGCTATAAAGTCTTTCTACTATGCGGAGATGATGGCCTTCTCCATAATTTTGAAGTATACTCTGGGAAAATACTACCAGCGGAAGGATTGCCTGATGTTGGAGCAAGTGGCAATGCTGTGCTACGTTTAATTTCTTATATACCACAGCAAATTAATTATAAATTATTTTTTGATAACTGGTTTTGTTCACCAAATTTGCAAGTCGTACTCGCTCAAAGAGGGATATTTTGCGCGGCCACGGTCAGAGGTAATCGACTACCAAATATCAACTTCCCAACAGATAAGGAGTTGAAAAAAAAGGGCGAGGATTTTTTGTTTCAAAAAAAACAATAATAAACGGGGTTGAATTAAATTCAGTGAAGTGGCACGACAATCGTGCTGTGACCTTATTGAGCACTTTTGTAGGTGCACATCCTCTTATCGATTGCGAAAGATATGATAGAAAAAAAAGGATAAAATAATGATAAAATGTCCAAACATTGTTAAAGTTTATAATAAATCAATGGGAGGTGTAGATCTTATGGATTCTTTACTTTCATTATATAGAATTCATACCAAATCAAGAAAATGGTACCATCGAATTTTATTTCATGTATTCGACATGTTACTTATAAATTCTTGGTTGCTATACAAACGGGATTATAATAGTATATCAATAGCAGGCAAGGATCGATTAAGTTTGTACAATTTCAAAATTTCGGTGGCGGAAGTCCTTTGCAAATATGGCAAATGCACTTCAAACAATATTCCAAAACGAAAATCAGTTCAAACTGGTTATCGGGAAAAATGTAAAAAAGGACCAGCCCAATATTTACCACTTCAAGAGGTTAGGAAAGACCTCACGGCTCATTGGCCAAAATATAATGATAAGAAGGGTAGATGTAAAATGCCAGGATGCTTATTTATAACAAAAGTATCTTGCAAAAAATGTGGTGTATATTTATGTTTTACGCCCACAAATAATTGTTTTATAGATTTTCATGAAAATTAAAATGTTTAAACCTTTAATATTTGTTATATTTAAATAAAATTTTATATATTTATAGTTTAAAGTACAATAAAAATTATTGTGGAAATAATTGAAATTTGTATCCTTAATTGCATAATGTGTATTTAAATCCACATACCGTTCATCTTCTAAGAAATTTAGAATTTTTTTAAAAAAAGTGAGCCATGAGATTATCAATAGTATCTAGAGAAATAAAAAATCTAGTTTGCCAAAAAAAAATTATTCTAACATAGTACATGCAATACAGGGTTAATATCGAAAAACAGATTTGTAAAAATCGGACCCAATGGACCAGTTGAACAACACCAAGGTATTTATGTTCAAATTTCTTATTCTGTAGATAGATATCACACTGCTTTATATATGTATAAGAATCCTAGACTGCGGATGATACATTAGGTGTTAGAAGTTATCACTAGATTATTAGCTAAAATAGAACAAATTTAACCCTGTATTGCATGTACTATGTTAGAATAATTTTTTTTTGGCAAACTAGATTTTTTATTTCTCTAGATACTATTGATAATCTCATGGCTCACTTTTTTAAAAAAAATTCTAAATTTCTTAGAAGATGAACGGTATGTGGATTTAAATACACATTATGCAATTAAGGATACAAATTTCAATTATTTCCACAATAATTTTTATTATACTCTAAA